TGGAAAATTTCAATGAATTTTACTTTTTTTTGGTATTTTACATCAAGAGCAGATATGATGCGAACAAAACCGTAAAATACTAAAATAAGTAAAAAATAAAAGTAGTAGAAAACATTCAATTTGTACCATCAACGGGCACCGTAATTATGGTGGACAGCGTATTTTAATAGATTTTTAATGATTAGATTCGGAACAATCGTATTAACGTCATCGACGAAAAACGGTTTAACAAAAGCGTTGAAGCAGGAAATATGGAAATAATTCGGAGAAAATCTTATGAAACACAATAAGTGCTTTAAATTCAAAACGGGCCACGTTGTATCACCATGTGTATACCCTATTTTCCATTGATCCCGACTAGTTTGAATATCATGACGGTGCCAGCTTAATGAAATTTTCGAATGCCTGTATTGCCACTGCCATAAATTTTCCATCGCCGACTGTGATTTCGTTGGTCGCTGTACGAAATCGTACAAATTTGAAGGGAAATCGAGACAAAAGCTAATATTACTCCATTTTCGTTTTATCGTATGGAAGCGGAACATCGAAGGCTACTACGAATTTATCACATCTATAATTTATTGATTCGCATAAATGTTTATTTCACACTAGTCCAGATAACCGAGAAATTTATTCATTCTTTAATTGATTTAGTTTTTTTAGCACGCGATATTTCATTAAAGTTAACAATTTTTTCCTTCGAATCTTTCCACGTTTAATAAAATATTCTCAGTCGTTTTTAAATTTAATCAAAAGAAATTTTCCTATTCTCTCCTATCGATAGAGAATGATATTTCGGATACGATGCTGTCGTAAGTTTATCACAATAAAAATAGATAGAGGGAAGACTGGCAGCCAGCCGGATATCGAATTCGGTATAGTCAGCAGATAGGGGTTTAAAAAGTCGTATCGCGTGCTCATAAACCAAAGTTATTTTGACACTTACCTGGCGTTGCTCTATTTGCTAGAAAATTTGCTCCACTTTGCTTAGCGAGAAATTACCTCTCTTTCTCTCTCGGCTCTCTGTCATCCTCTATCTGTGTTCACCACCCCCGAAGCCACCAGCATCCACCTCGCATCTCAGCCTCATCCAATTCCCATTGCTTGTAGTGGTGCGACGCGGCTATTCGAGCAAAAGCGACCGGGTAAATATCTTGCAGTGACGGTAAACGGAATTGAATAAACATTTTTCAGCAAATAGAACCGACAATGGTACGAATTTAAAAGTCGCTGAGACGAGCACAGGTGGTTCTCCCGCCAGCGTAGAAGCGCCGAACGGAGAAATTGCATTTCACCCTTCTTGCTTCCCTTCTATCGTCTACCAGCTATGCCGTCTTCCCCTTTCCGTGCCTTTCACGTTTCTTTCCACCTTTCGTTTTTCTTTTGCACGCGCGGTCACCGCCGGTTCCCTTTCCGTTTCCGCGAACGACGCCAACCCCCATAAAGTCACACGGCCATGATTCTCAACGATGAACTGGTCGGTCGGTGCACTCGACACTCTGAGCCAGTTATCTCCCGATTCTCGCTGGAAATTGGTTATAAATGCTAATGTACGAGCCAGCTGCGGCGCAATCTCCGATGGTGGAAGCTCTCGGAGGTAAAACGCAGCCGACGTGCAATTTTAAGGTCGGTACGTCGTGGCATTCGTCGCGTCGAAAGACGAATACTCGACTGTTGGCGAAGGAAGCGGAGGTGTTCGGAGGTGCGCTCCAATTTAGGAAGTTAGGAAAGTATGCTGGGATCGCTTTGCGTACGAGAGAGAGGCAGTGTTAACAAAATGTCGAAGCGAATGCCAAGGATAGCTATCCTTGTTACGTAAGTTGTCTGAAAGAACATCCGGAGATCTAAGAACAAGGGCGAGGAATTTAGAAATTTCGCCGGCAAGATGAATATCGAACGAAGTTACAAAAAATTGATAAGTACGTGCTTTGATAAAAATAGATGTTAACGTCGAGAAATGTATTGTATTATTTCCATGTGAACAACGTTCCATGTCGTATTTTGCACCTAACTGTGCGAAGAACGCAAGGTGCATCGTTAGAACGACGAAACGATGTAGATATCATTAGTCGAATTGCGGAGTTTTACTCGCTTGTGAAAAATTTGTAGATGTAAAAATCCATAGAATGCACGTAATATGCAAAAATATATATTCAAAGTACAGTAACCTTTATAACGTTTAACGGGCAAAGTAATTCTTTTATCGAAGTTGTAGTTTCTCGATTATATCGAGAAAAATATGTATTCGCACAAATGTCCACGACGTAATTATTATATAGCCGAGAAATAACTCTGGCGAAATAAAAATCGTGCACCGGTTTGGTCGACAAAAATTGCACGTTCAGGGGTTAAAGCTTTGTAAAAGGTGTTACGAATCCCATAAATCAATGTAAATAACCCTGAATCGTTTGGCCGTGGTTCGACTAGGTGCTGAGCCGCGATAAACCATAAAATTGGAACGAGTCGTCTTCGATCGTTCGCAATAAAGGAAGGAGGAAGGAAAAGGGCAAGAAACTATCGCTCGTTTACGAGGATACACAAGGATGTTCGTAAACGGGCTGTAAAGGCAGAAAACGAAGAGAAAGGCGAGAGAATAGGTGTGGAACGGGTTGGAAATCGGAACGGAAGTGGAAAAGGTGAGGATCCATGGAAACGCCGTCGCGGGGGCCGATTTACGATCGCGAGTCTGCTTCGATAGTTTGTTCTCAAGGCAGACCGTTTCTCCGCCTGTAAAAAGCAAGATCGAGAACATCGATCAGGACAGACTATAAATTAGCATCGAGTTAGTATCCGACGAGTTCAAATTCATTGTCTCTTCTTTTATGTTTGCGGGATCGGGTTTCGATGTGTTTGTGGTCGTTTGTTTGCTCGGAACGCGAATCGGTAACTGGATGCGGCCAATTTTCCTGTTCAAATACGGCTGCGCGTGTCTGCGAATGCTCGGTTGTGAACTACATTGGTTTCCAGGTGCCGAGTAGAAAAGAAGCCTGGCGAACGCTAAATCCTTGCAAACCTTTCTCTACGGGTATCGGGATTTTCAAAAACCGAGGTTTTCAGAAGAAAACCAGCGAAACAGGTTTTATCGCTGGTATCGAATTTTGAAAGGTTCGGCTCACGCGCGTCGAAAGCACAGAGGAATCGAGGGAATAACATTACTACTGCTAACTAGCTCGAATTTCTCCTGTAAACGATCGCGATAGGAAAATCGAAAAGTCGAAGAATCTTTTTACTCGTCGTCGATCCATTTGCTTACGAGGTAAAATTACTTTTTAACCTTTTTTTTGTTGCGAACTTAGATTTTTATATTTGACCGTATCTATGAATAGACTGTATCTGTATACTAAGTAGCAGTACTAAATTTTACCTGATATTTACTAAGCATTCCGATACATCCTGTAATATATATTTTAGAGAAATACATAATTTTTAGCATTCGCCTCTTATTAGGTTTATAAAATTTGTCTTTGAAATTGGTTTTCCAATAATCTGCATTAATTTCCCAAAGCTGTTATTCCTGATTTTAAGTGGCGTTCGCTCATCGATTCGTTAAGTTCGTTCCATCGCTTCTCGATAGAGATTAATTCAAGAGATTGTATCGAGATTAATATCAACGAGGCTACCAGTGATTTTTATCGCGAAAATGACGAATAATTTTTCATCGTTTTCCAACGGAATGTAATGTCTGACAAATTAGCTTCGTACTTCCTCCAATTAGATAAAAACGAAGGTAGTAGATAAAGGGAAACTGCTAAAGATCGGTGCAACGTAACTTCATAGACTGTATCTTTTTTTCTTCTTTTTTGACGGCTGTACCGGCCGTATCACATTTCGGGAAGAATCAGAGATCCAACACTAGCCACAATGGGTTCGATATACCGGAGAAGACAGTTGAATTCGAGGTGGACGCCGGACGTTGAATTATCGAGGCAGGCCCTTTGGGAAATCGTGGAGGAGTTCTTTGGAATTTCTGTTGCCTCGTGTGCCTCCTTCGGTTACCGGAGAACCTTCCAGCGGAGGGACCATAATCGATGATCATCCTCAAATCCACTAATACAGAACTCGCGAGATCGTACAAAAGAAAGCGTAGGAAGGTTGCCAGATAAAAATGGAGGGAAGTACGGCCGGCATGGTGAATCAAGGGAGAGGAAAAGTCGATTCGTCTTAAACGGAAACCGTGACGGGTATAGCGCGATTTCTCCAGGCTTCGACATCCATAAATGCATCGCAAGATCAACCGGTTTAAAGCCCTTGGAGTTCTTGATATCCACGCGTGATTCAGGATCTGTGAGCGACTCGATGTTCAGTGATATTTAAATTCGAAGATTCCACGGAAGATTTTGTACCTTATACAGAAATGTATAGCGACGGTTCTGGCGTCACTGTTGAAATCTAGGAACGCTTCCGTGGTATTTTTAATATCGTCGTAACACAGAGCTATCGAAATTCTTCGACGATCGCAGCGAGGATCGCAGCAACAACATTTTGAATAAAGGCGAATAATAAAATCGTGATATTAATAATCGACAGAATCACGGCTTTATCGCTGATAGTTGCGTACGCGCGTCTCTTTCTACGACGAAAATATACGCTATTGAAAGGAAACGTAATCCAAACGGAAATATATTTAATGTACTTATTGATTTGTAATTTTATCATTTAGTTTCGTTTCTCGATAAAAGCCTCTTAGAAGGCTCAACTACGCTTATTATAGGGTTCATCCATTTTCGCATTATCCAGATACGGAATTATTATTCATGGTTATTTTTATAAATTTATTCAAGGAGATAACACGAATAATCGTAAATTCTAAGGAAGAATTAAAAAATAATATTTTCGATTCTCATTCTTCTATGCGTTTTAATTTATGGGGTCGGTCAACATAGATGTAGACGACTCGTATATTGAAACATTAAGCGTTTTAACAGCACTCTGCTGCAGAACAAAGAAAAGCAAGTATAAAATCCATTCAACGAATTCAACCTTCTTGCTTTTGTTTGCAGATTACCTCGATCGTGCGAGAGGAAAACGTCGCCAGGTTCGCGCGTCGCGGTCCGCTGATTTATTCGCCAGGCTCTGGAATGAATACACGAGGATGGCACGGCGTACAGGACACGAGCAAATTAGCGGATCGAGTGTGACCGAGTTAAGCGGCTTTTCGCGGTGAGTTTTGCTCCTGCACGTGAGCCGACGATGCGTTAAATCGACGAGCTACGACCGGACGAACGAGACTAGAAGGAAAAAGGAGGAAGCAAGAAATAAATAAATGCAACGAGGATGATAAACTATAACGACGCGCATCGTGAAAGATTCGTGCGAAACGCAGGACCACGCAGTCGCGAAATGCATCGAGAATACTTATTCCGGAGATCTTGTTTGTCAGAATGAAGCCTTGAAGTTGTCATCCACTTGCTTGCCGGTTGCGTTTCCGTCTGCATCTCGCGGCTCTACTTGCGGCTACGTTTCCTCTTTTCCATCTTTTCTTCGCGGACGAGAGCGAAGAAGAGCGAGAAACGAGAGAGCGAGAGAAGAGAGAGAATGGGAAAAGCAGGAACTGATAGCTTTACATTCAACCGGTACGAAGAAAAGTTTAAGTGACTCATGCAGACACTCTTGGAATTCACTCTACGCCGTTATTTAAGTTTCCATTTTACCGCTAACAGAGAAAAAGGCGTCGCCGTCGTCGTCGTCGTCGTCGTCGTCGTGTAGGGGAAGTGCTCCTACGTGTGTCACAGTGTCGTGGTTTCCGTTCGTGACACCGGATCGGATTTAATCGATTGGTACGCGCGTCGTCGAGAGACAACTCGATACTGTACGAACATCGCCTCTTCTCCGCGAGACTCGAACGAGAGAGTTTCAAAATTGAAATTGTTTAACGACGTATCAAAGACAGGAGGGACCACCGAAGGAAAAATTGGTCGCAAAGGATAATCGCAAATTGCAGGCAAGCACGGTAAAACATCGCCTAACCGATGGCAAGATGTTGAAATTGAACAACGCTCTTAAGCCTCGTAAAGCAGAATTATGCGTTGCATAACGTCGGCGGATTCTTTAATAAGATCGAGTTCGACGTTATTGCACCGGCACCCATAAATATCTCTTAAACGTATGCGTACCTTAAGAGGGCAATATCCCCGAAAACGAGGATCGAGCCTTTCGATTTCGTTCTCGATAGAGAGCCTCATCCCGAGGTAGAACTAATATCCCAGAAAATATCTCAAACATCGATTTTGTCCATAGAATTCCGGGCCGCGTTCCAGTCAGGACAGCCGTCCTCTAGAAAAATGACGGGAGTGCCCGGTTCGCATACGATCGAACGTTCCCTCGGATCCTACGAAATCCCTTCGTGATCTGCTTCCGTCGAACGACCATTTTCTAAGAGGATAATAAAAATTGGCGGTGACCGTAATCGGAGTATCCCGTCATCCCGTCACGACTGTCCTTTTATTTCGAAAGCAGCAACTTTCGAGCCTGGTTTAAACGTTTCTGTCATAAACATTTCAGCGCGAGTCGTTCACAGCATTCTACCGTACCGCGTGCCCAATGGAGTGTTTCGAACCGCGACTCGTTCGCAACGAAGAATCCGACACTTCGACCACTTTTATTTACGCGATACCGTTAAAAGGAATGGATTCGCGGAGATCGCGCAGACGATCGCGCAGAAAATCGTCGAGAAAGCTATCCACGATCAATGTCAACGACTCGATCGCCTCCAAGTAAATTGCCCGACTCGAGTATGCCCACCGAGTCGTTCGTATTTTTAGGAGAAAAAATCGGCCCGACAACCTACCGGATGATCTCTAGTTGGTATCGAACACAAATATAAGAAAGGAGAGACGATCGTTTTACTCTTACCGTGGAGGAGTGACGTTACGACTCTCACGCGAGGTCAGCTCGAGGGATTTCGAAGAAGATTAGAAGGCCGTTCTTATCTCCCTATTTCTCTTCCTCGCCATCGGTTCCCTCTATCAGCGACCTGAGCTGACAAATGCGAACGACAGGCCGTGCTAAGGTACAGTTCGACAAATGATAGTCAGAGGACAGAATTGGGTGATCCGGTAGGAAGGGAAAAAATAGAATGGAGAAGGACAGCGCGAGACATTACAGAGCTTACGAGGGCTTCAAGCCCGCGAACAATGGCAATACATCGTCCTTGAAGAGGTCCACATCGGACCGCTCGAAAACACATCCGTCGAGACAAGTGAGGTGCCTTTGCTTCGGCGGAGTGCCGGACAAGGCCAGCCAGCACTCCTTTCTCAAAGGTTGTATTATAAACCTTGGAATATGTGCCCTCCTCGTGGCTTACACTTTACTGGGTAGCTTCATCTTCCTTGCCATCGAGGGCGGTACCGATGCCGGGATACAACAAAGGACACTTGCTACCACAATAGCAGAGAATCAGCCTACCAGACGGAATACCACCGCTTGGCTAAAGCAAGTGAGTGCACAACTATTGATTTCCACCCGGCGGTTTTTCTTCCCTTTTTTTCCTCCCGCTTTTTTCTTTTTTTTTTTTCATTTTGCCTTTCATTGTTGCATTTTTACGGTTCACATGGCTTGAATATTTGTCACTTGCCACGTAACGATTCACGCTGTTACGAACGAACGCTCTTTCTCTCGAGCTATGTTTCATAAATTAAAGCGAAATAAATCTTATATTACTTGCTATTACGGCCGTTTGAAACCATTTTGTTGCTTTCCATTCTATAGATTTCAGAAAAATTTTTTCATGATATCGGAATTTTTGTCCATCCAACTATTTTGTACAAAATATCTTTTACTGAAAAATACACAGGCAATAAATCGAGTGGTTAACGGTAAAGATAAAATCGAAAAGACTTTACCGAAAAATCATCTAATTAGCAATTGATCTTTCTTTTGAAAAGAATTATATCCGCGTTTGAATCAACGTTGCATTAACGTTGCTCGCGTGTAGTATCGGTGATGACGCGCTGCTTCAAATAAGCATGACGGTATTTGATTTTTTTCCCCAATTATCGCTTAAGCGAAACGGTAACGAATTTCGACTTATCGTTGCATCTTTGATCAGAATCCCGTTTTCCTACCTGAGATGACCTCAGTGAACCTGAATCAATCGAATTATCGGTGCGTTCTAGCGTTGGTGCTCCGTTTCAACGAAGTTTTATCGATTGGTCGTCGCCAACTAGTTTCTTCCTTCTTTAAAGTGATACTCGTTCCGTAGAGTCTTCTGGGTGGAAAAGATATTTCCAGTTTCTCTTCGTTTTATCCATATCTATCATGCGCTGTTATTCTTCGACGCTGATAAATTCCAATGAAAATTTTCCTTCCACGCGATTGTTCCTTTCCTTAAATCTGCAACGTTGCGTAAGCGCGTACGTACTTGAAACATATTTTCGCCAAATCGTATTTGTATTATTTTAACGAGGATATTTTTTCTTTTCTTTTGCTACTAAGGTTAATCACGAAGCACGAGCGAAGACGGTGGAAAACATATGGATAATTACGGAGAGTTTGAATATTCTTTACCGTGAGAACTGGACGAGGCTGGCTGCCCAGGAAATCGCACGTTTTCAGGATCAACTGGTGAAGAGGATCACCGAAGACATGATGGCGACCCAGAACGCCGGAACATATGTCGGAAGTTCCACTAGTGATACCGTGACAGAAAGACGGATACCGGAATACGAGTGGAACTTCGCCAAAGCCTTTTTATATTCTCTCACGGTGCTGACGACGATCGGTAAGTGTTTCAAGTAGAATTATACGACGTTATAAGTACGCTTTGATTTTTATCCAGAATACGTGACTTACGATATTAATATTTGTTGCGTCGATTCTATATGTGTATTTATATTACATTGATACAATAGCTAGAACGATGAGATCAAGTATGACACAAGTAGAACATTGGCCAACTAGATTTTAATCCTCTATGAGTATTTCACGATAATTTTGCCAGAGATTTCTCATTCTCGAAAAATCATTTTTCTTGGTTTGTAATTTTCATGTTTGTAATTTTCATTAGGTTGCCCGAAAAGTTTCTTTCGTTTTATAAGGAAATAATAGACGGACAATATTTTTTGTTTCATATTAATTTATTGAATTATGCATGAACATGATAATAGAAATATAACGAAATGGATCATATCTAATTCAATAAAATAATACAAGAAATTGTTGTTCGTCTATTATCATCTTATAAAACGAAAGAAACTTTTCGGACAACCTAATACAATGTAATCTCATGCATTAACAATTCACTATACATAAATACATTTGCGTCGTAGATACATAAGTAGGACACATGGTACTTTCTTAACTATCACGAAGAATTTCTCTACTTTGAAGACTTATACCACGCGTTAAAACAAAAACGTGTTACTACAATTTTCGACTTCCAGTCATCGATTTTTCATAGTAACGATCGATACGTCTGATCGACGATCAATCCCGTATATGTCTAGAGTTTTGCGCGTAACAAAGACCAAATACCTGTTCGACAACTGAGAATATATATCGTGCAATAACGTATGCAGTTACTCGCTTTTGACTTTATCTATGCGGTCGTAAAGTCGCTTTGGTAACTTATCATCGATCTCTAGTCTCTGGTATGGCTAAATTTTATGAAAGATTCCAGTTATTCGTCTACCACGGCGCAGATTTAAATTAGCAGAGTACGAAGATACGGTACGCTATAAATCTGACAAAGCAAATTTAAACGCAAGCCGATTCCTTATCGCACGGCTCTGTTGTAAAATCTTTTACTGTTCACCTATAAAACGTTTCGAGTCTGACGGTAGCTAAGCGAAATTACATCAGGTCAAAGTACCGCGCGGGATAGAAATCAGAACATTGATCGAGCAGCGAGAGTTGCAAACCCAAGATGCAAAGGCAACATCGCGATTCCAAAATTCGCAAATGACGAAGTATCTTACCTTGCACAATTTCTGCGTATCGTCGCTTGACACATTAAGGGCCAAAGATTTGTTGACGCAACGTTTCGTTCGTAATTTTTCTCCGATCGATTTACGTTATTCAGATCTGTTTCCCTAATCTAATGGCTGTGAAAAGTAATTTCAGCGATCCCTTTGCAAATAGTATTTTTTGCCACTGTTTCTTCCGTCTAGATTGTTCAATTGCACGAGATTTAACCCCTTAACCTACAACTACGGGCATAGCCCGTGGTACGATGATCGTGCCGAGCGTATATATTACGGGCACAGCCTGTAGTAGATAATCGGACCAAACGTAAATATTACGGGCATAGCCCGCAGTACGATGATCGGGCCAAATATAATATACAGGGTGGTTGGTAACTGGTGGTACAAGCGGAAAGGGGGTGATTCTATATTTTCGACTTGTTTTTTCGCGTAGAATCACCCCCTTTCAGCTTGTACCACCAGTTATCAACCACCCTGTATAATAGCTTGTTTACGTTTTCGGCCCAAAATTCTCGAACGTAAATCCTAGGTTAGGAGGTTAAAGAAGTTGAAATATGTATAGTATTATGATCTCGCGTATTACGTATTTCTTGATCCCTAATAGATAAAGACATTGACTGCCACGCCAATTTTATATATTTTGTTGTAACAATAGATTCCTACACCGTGAAACGTCTAATTTTAGCCAAACATTACACCGACAATGTTATCTAAGTTATTCGTCGCATTGAAAATTGTTTAGTCCGTGAAACTTATCCTATTTTGATTATCCTAAAAAAAACATCACGATATGATAATCAACGTGTTAAATCATTTATCTGGAAATATTAGGTTGGCAACTAAGTGATTGCGGATTTTGCCATTAGGCGATATTAGGGTTGGCAGTCACTTAGTTGCCAAGCCAATATAAGTCCCCGTATTTATGTAAGTTAATTCTTGATACGCTCCGAACGAACGTAAGCGAGATTTACGAGTCCGCAAAATTCGGAAATAACGTAGCCACGGTGTACGGAACGTTGCGCGCATTCCGTTAAAAATGAAGTATAATTTGCAATCGGAAGCTACATTAAAACATAAGGGCGAAAAAATTTCGACGCGTCAGATCGGTCTTGGCATCAATCGAAACAGCGAGCATCGAGATTTCGCGGATGATATCTCTGTTTGAAGGTAACACGCTCTCTCGTAAATACAAAATGAAACGACAGAGAATTTTACATTCGAACGATTCCTGATAAAACGTATCGGTTTCGCGCGCGGAAAACGCGACAGACATGCGGCGAAGGGATACGGGGATGGAGGCAGGAGAAAAAAATAGGATAGAAGCAACAAGAGTCGGTGGTTACGAGGTCGAAAGGGTGAACCAGAGGCCGGTATAGCGAGCATCAATTTTCAAGGCAAACAAAGTCCAACATTAACGTGTAATGGCCGTGCCGTGGACTGGACTACTGTTGTCCGCTTTACATGTCAGAATACTCGGCATACATATACGCAAACCGACAATTCCAAATCGTTCGACTTGCCGGCGTTCGAACCGAGTGACGTCACGTCCGATCGTTTACTCTGGTTATTACTGAAACAGATTGGAAGTCTATGAGTTTTGTGGATATTGCAAAAAAGGGGAGAGAAAGAGAGGAAGCAGGAGGAACAAGAGGGAAAAGTAAATAAAAGAGTCGCGAAATGAGTGAACCGTACGCGCAGCAATAATCAGGTAGGATACGGAACAGCTTATCAAATTATTCTTCCTGTAGCCATATGTCTCTCATTTTCTTCTTTTCTTCTTCTTTTTTTTTTTTTTTTTTAATGTATTGGCGATTTCTTTCACGACGAAAATTCGATAATACGCGATGTAATTAAAACTTTTATCGGTGCAGCATCATATGCTACTGTTCAGAAGTGTCAATCAATTGAAAAGGTTTTTGTAGTATCCATACTTTCGAGGCAATATCTGACACATATCAATATCAGCGTCCTGAAATATCAAATTCGAGTATTTGCGATTTTATCAAGCCATGATTTTCAGTCGGGGCTCAAATATTTTTCAAACATGTAATATCTGACTATTTAGTTAAGAGCACTGACCTCTTTTCCCCACGGATTGTCAAACAATAATAATAATAGCTATCCGGCGTGAATGTGTCATCTTGAACCAAATATGATATACCTTTTGGTCTACCACGGAAATTACGCGTGTCGTGAGATGAAAAAAATTGGAAATCGCTGTTGTAAAGCATCAATACATAAACAACCATCAATACATAATTATTATATACATTATTAAATAAAACATCAATACATAAGCAATCAATACATAAAGTATCGATAATTTTGTTAGGTAATAAACAGAGATATCGATACTTCCATGAAGTATCAACTATACATATTGACTCGATGTTTGTATCGGTTTGCTATTGCTCGGAAAACATTCGTATTGAAAATTGATATCAGTAATCCGAAAGTTACGATATCTTCCGATATTTCTCGCGCAGTTGTTGAAACATCATCGATATGTGTCGGTATCGATTCGATGCTTGTTTACGAACGGTAGTGCGAGCCTGATGAAATTTATACCATGTTTGGTTTAATCGTTAGCGTGATGTCCGTTAGCATCGAATTAACGTTCGAATGCCATTTGGCGAAGGGAAGGTGTTCTTTAGAGATTGGCGGGATGGCGGGGTCCGGTCGACTTTAAAATACGTATAACCTGCACACTGAATGATTCGCGTTTTAAAAAGCGTAGATTTTTGTTGCACCGAGAGGTGATTGAAGCTGAATGGGTTCTGTGCCGTGAAATCCCGGCGAGAACTATCGTTTTTGTAGTCGCTGGGTATTGAGTCATTGAAAACGTGCTCGTTCTTTTTTTGTTTTCAGCCTTTTTACGTTGTTGGGATGGCTGTTCATTTAACGCATAGGTTTGATGGTCAAATAAAGAGGATTTTTTTGTACAATTAGCTACGTACTTGGCCGAAATTCGGAATCGTATATAGATAATATGCGATATTTATTTCTTTCGTTTATTATATGATATCCATTTTTTAAATTAATTACGATAGATAAATCGTTGAAGACAGAATTGATTGAATTCTGAATACTTGCAATAAATTGCGAGACCATTGCACTATTGCAATAGAAAAAAAGGATGTTTTGTGGAACATTAAACTTGGAATGATCAATATGGTGGATGAAGCGAAATAAATTATCGATGATCATAAATCATGCAGAAACAAAAGAGAACGCTTTATCGTTCAAATAATTTTTATCGAAGCTTTTGATCTAAAGCGGAGATGGGATACAGGTATGGCAAAATATAAATTCTTATCTTTTATAAATGTTTCAGTTTCGTATTTTCACGATTTATCGCGTATCGCCTTGTTTTCCCATTCAATTTCTCAATCGAGCATCTCTTTTGCAGATATCCATTGCTATTCGAACTCAGCTTGTTTTCGTAGGTTTGTTTCGACGAAGAACAGTTTCATTCCGATCTACGACCAATTCAAAAATATCTACCATTTTTTTCAAATACGTCTACCAGTTGTTTCGCCAACAAATTTTAGTTTCGCAATCACGCAATTCGTGTTTACGAGCCTTTTCAGACTTTATATTTCAAAACCGAATTTTTCCACCGTGATCGGGATTTGCAACATACCGTAAACCAACATGGCACGTATAAAACAAATTTCAATGACTATACGCAGTGTTCAAAATCGCCGGAACAAAAATTTAAAAACTTATTCCATTTAAAAACGTTTGATAAATGTCGCTTCGACGTGTCCATTTTTAACACCTACTATCTACAAACGTT